CTGACTGAGCCACCCAGGTGCCCCTCATTTTAGTCAATTTAAATTAATTCTTCTGCTTGCCAAATTTTGCCTGAACTGAATGATATCATTCTAATATTGAAAAGCCTCATCATAAATACAGGAACTCAGATGGGGCCAACTAACCATTCAGTTAGTGTGGTACACAAATTGCAGGTGCACACAGGTACTGAAAGAATGGCTGGCCCACTTAGGGAGCTGGCAGGTGGTCATACATATGCAAGCGATATAAAACAAATTTACACAAACCTGCTAGATTTCATCAAATAATTTTCCTTCAAATGGTTTTGACTGCATTCTGAAATTTATAGCTCATTAATTTGGTATCCTATAAGCATACTTTTTACATGTCATTTAGTGATCAAGGTAACTCAGACCTCAGAGTAAAGTTTTAGTTTTATACTCTCCAGCTTGATTATCTGCTCTGCCTAAATTTAGTGTTCTGTTACCCATTTAAGAGTAGGTTTTGACTCTTTTTATTCCTTTTTTTTTTAAGATTTTATTTATTTATTTGAGAGAGAGAGAATGAGAGACAGAGAGCACGAGAGGGAAGACGGCAGAGGGAGAAGCAGACTCCCTGCTGGGCAGGGAGCCCGATGTGGAACTTGATCCGGGGACTCCAGGATCATGACCTGAGCCGAAGGCAGTTGCTTAACCAACTGAGCCACCCAGGCGCCCCTTGACTCTTTTTATTCCTAAAAATAAAACACAGATAATTCCCCCTTACTTTATATATGTTCTTTATTCAATTAGTGAAGCATGAGCAACAAATAATTATTGTCATTTCTTTTATGCAGTTGACATACAAAATTACAATTAAATAAGGGATTCTTAATGCATTTACAGATGCTACAGCAATTGCCAGGGCCATTTTACAAAGCCAGATAGAAAAAAAAAACCTCATTATACTAAAAAATTAAGTCAGCGAACAGAGTCTTCGGAATTACTGTTTTTATCACTTTATTATCTTTGGCCCTGCTCTCAAGTTGAGACCATTAAATCTTTCAACAACAAATATTTATTCCACAAACATGGGCTTTATTTGTAGAAACTAGGTTCATACTGAAAAATTTATGTCAAATGTTTTTAGCCTATAAGGAATGTTCTTAAACTTAAATGTAAAAATTCCTCTGGGCACTCATAGAGTTCACTGGTACAGCATCTAAAGTAATATACTGCACGAAGGTGTATAATGAATGCCTTTTGATGATGCACTGACATTTCTAAGAAATGCCTTTGCCTCAAATCAGTCTGCTCAAACCAGCAAATGATTTGACATTCAAAGCTTCAGGAAACACTATATGAACATTTTTTTTCTCATTGTACAATAAAGATTCAATCATGGAACTGTCATAGGAAATTGAGATTCCGCCTTATGTTTTAAAGTTAATCTGCCAGAGTCATGTATTTATTTTGCTTATAAAATCACTTTTACAAGTAGGAAATCTTTTGTATGTGTTTCTCATTCTAATAAGATCTACCCAATCTCTCCTACTGTTTGAGTTAAAAACACTTTTGGTATCATCATAGTCAATACATGAAGTCAATCACCTAGGACAAACAAGGTTTTCTACAACAAATGTATATAACTCATGTTTATGACTAATTATCACTAATTCTTGAAACTCTTAAACTGAACTCTTTAGCATTGGAGAAGAACTTTTTGTAAATAGACTAAAAGAAATTTTGTAATAACAAGATATAGAAGTGGTGGTTTTAAGTGAAATATAATAATAACTTTTATATAAATATTAGCCACATTTCTTTCTTCTCTGAGCCATAGCTAATGATTAGAAGATGCTTCCCATTCTCAAAAATGCTTGAGTCCATTGCACAGTTTCTCATTATCTAGGCTCTTGTTACTGAAACTTATAGCCTCTGAAAATAATTTAATTTAACTAAGTCTGTACTTTAAAGTTGTAAGCTCCAAATACTTGTATTCTCTTAAACTATAGAATTTCTAGAGTAATCCTTTATTAGTGGATCACTTACCTTGTGTTAGATCTTGTTCTAAGCACCTTCAATAATTTATCTCATTTATTCATAGTAACGCTAAAATTATATGGGTCTGTAAGATATCGTGCAGAGGGGGAGGTTACATCATATTCAACGTGGACACTCACATACATGTATGCTGCCCAGTCCTCTCTCCTTAATACCAGGAATGTCTCTTCTAACCCATATAGCCTATGCTACACTCAATGGATGTTTTAGGCTCACTGTCTCAATCTCAATAATAATATAAACATTATGAAGTTTATATTATTATTATGCCCATTTCATAGATGAAGACCATGGGTTACACAGAAGTTAAGCCTTTTGCCCAGTCACCCTTTCCTAGATTTTTAATCTGATTCTCTGGCCCATGTGCTCCTTCCTTGTATATAGCAGTATACAGCACCCTGGTAGTTCTGGACTTTTCAAAGGGTCCATGCCCCCTGCATCTCATTCCTCTGCATGTTTGTAAATTTTCCCCTACCTGGTTGTCATCCTTTCATACCCCTGTTCAGCCCTAGTTAACGCTTCCTCTCTTGACAGAAGTATCTCAGAGATCACTTTCTTGGGGAACCTTTTCCCATAGTCTGTGCTACACCCAGTCACCTCTGAGTCTCCCTGGCACTTTGCATTTTTTATTCAACACATAGGTTTGTTCATGCATTTGTCTCTGATTGAATTATTCCTTACTTGAGGAATAAGGACCCATTTATCTTTGTTTTCACTGCCTATCCCAGGATCTGGCATGCATTACTTCTCGTTATTGAGTCAATTTGGGGTAAGAATGAATCCTAGATTATAGGGTAGCAGAAGAGAAATCTAGTCAGAATTATTTTTATTTTGTAAGATTAATATTTAATTATATTTGAATTATCTGAAAAGTTCAGAACATTTTAATTAACATGGACCTCTGCCAGCTCAGATTAGAGTTGTATATATCTATGATTCTGTGCATGATGCCACTCCCTTTCATGAAATCCCTGTTTGTATCTTTTTATTAGAGTTTACTTGTTAACCACTGGCCCTAAGGCAGTTAGCTAGTCAGTTGTCTGTTGAGCTCTGTTCTTTACCCACCACGGTGGGGCGCATAGAAAAATCATAAAACATAGTGAGGGACCTTAGAATCCAGCTGGGATAACAAATCTAATACACAGAAAATTTAAGTATAAATACTCCTAATCTGCAACCATAATACACCAGTGGGTTACTGAATTCAGACTGAAGACTACTTGTAGTTAATTAGCCCAGTTAGCCTAATACCACTCTGCAGGATATAACAAACTGTCATCCAAAACTGTGTAGGGGAGAAAATCTCCATCTGCCACTCCTATAGCAAGGTTATGAAATCAAACTCTCCTGGCTGGCAAAAGGCTTCCCTTTTTGGAAAGGTGCCATCTCAGACTTTTACTTAAAGTTCAGTGATCCAGGCCAATTCATGTCACTAATTCCATGGAACATTTGGTCTTCTGCAGTATGCTTAAAGTTTCCAATCCTTTTGATAACTCGTGACTATGTAACATACCATATTTTGCTTCTTGTGTTTCAATAGTATTACTACTCCATTAAGTTTTTATTTCTAGTCTATCCAGAACCTTTTTTTTTTTAAAGATTTTATTTATTTATTTATTTGAGTGAGAGAGAATGAGAGATAGCACGAGAGGGAAGAGGGTCAGAGGGAGAAGCAGACTTTCTGCTGAGCAGGGAGCCCGATGTGGGACTCGATCCCAGGACTCCAGGATCATGACCTGAGCCGAAGGCAGTCACTTAACCAACTGAGCCACCCAGGCGCCCCTATCCAGAACCTTTTCTAAAAAATAGCTGTGAGGGGCGCCTGGGTGGCTCAGTTGGTTAAGCGACTGCCTTCGGCTCAGGTCATGATCCTGGAGTCCCGCATCGGGCTCCCTGCTCAGCAGGGAGTCTGCTTCTCCCTCTGACCCTCCTCCCTCTCATGCTCTCTGTCTCTCATTCTCTCTGTCTCAAGTAAAAAAAAAAAAAAAAAAAAAAAAAAAATCTTTAAAAATAAAATAAAATAAAATAAAAAATAGCTGTGATAATGTAAACCATGCCAGGGTCTTTTTTTTTTTTTTTCCTTAAGTTACTAAACCACAGCTTTATTGCTTCTGCCCTTAGTTTTTCTTAAAAGTGATTTTGACAATGTGTAAGCTTAAATTTTGCCTTCATTATAATATATTATCCTCAATACACTTGTACATTTGTGACTTTTTTATTCTCCTGAGCTTCAAAGGAATAATTGTGTGTGTGTCTATTTTATGTTGTCTTATAGTTTCTCCAAGTAACTTCTACTTTTATTTTACTTTTATTTTTTTTGTCTTCTCTTCCTATAACAAACATCAACAGCAAAACAGAAGATTAAATAATTAACAAATACGTGATTTTTCTGTAGGGACAGTATATTTCCCCTGAATACAATCACTAAAATTTTATGGGCATCTAAAATGGATTGCTGCTTTCTTTTGTTTTCACCATGGAGATTTTCATTATTATTTGTTTTGTCAACCTTAAAAGTAAACAGCCAATTATTCTACCAGCAAATGGTTTTTTTTCTGGAATAGCAGAGGAATTGCAGGACCTGCAAACTATGGCAAACCATAGGCAAGTCTGGAGATCAATGGAGAGGACTGTCACTTTACTGAGAAATGAAGAAAGATGGGAGGGCTGCTTTGAATGAAGGAAAGTGAGAGTTCAGGGTGGTGATGGCTTCTCACTGGCTGAGTTGTTGTATTTTCCTATTTGCCGAGCTTGTTGCCTAACAGGGAGAACATTTTCCTTTCTCCTGCTGGGGTAGTAAAGTAAGCTTCTTCTAGTTGGGAATGCAAGGTATGTCTCTTCCTGTTGGGATCTGTCATTGGTTGAGGGCAGGGTGTGAGAGCTCCCCCTTTTGGTCTCCCCACTCCAACTTAAATGAGGTTTCCTTTATTCAATTTTACAGCTTATTTTAAGAAAATATGCTTCCCTTATTTTCACAGGTAAAAAGATGGCCTATCAGAAAGTCAATGCAGATCAAAGAGCACCAGGACACTCACAGTACTTAGACAATGATGACCTTCAAGCTACTGCCCTTGACTTAGAGTGGGACATGGAAAAGGAACTGGAGGAGCCTGGTTTTGACCAGTTCCAACTAGATAGTGCTGAGAATCAGAACCTGGAGAATCCAGAGACTGCAGATCTCAATCTTGATTCCATTCAACCAGCAACTTCACCCAAAGGAAGGTTTCAGAGACTTCAAGAAGAGTCTGACTATGTTACCCGTTATACAAGATCTGTGCCAAAGAGCAACCCCTGCAACTTTTGCCGCCTTTTAAAAATACTTTGCACAGCCATCATTTTATTTATTTTTGGGATTTTGATAGGCTATTATGCACTTAAAAAGTGTCCTTCAAATGCTACATCTTCAGCAATGCTTGATCTTCAGTTATACCAAGAGATTCTCCAGACAATCCAAGCAGAAGATATTAAGAAGTCTTTCAGGTAGGTGGAGAAGAAATGGATGTTGGTGGGATGCATTTCCTGGGAAGGAGGTCTCACAGGGGGTATTGAGTTGGTGATTTTGCCATGGTTTAAGGTTAGTCCAGCAAGCTGAGCAACAAAACTTACCAACATACCCTTCACAGAGAGGGTGCACATTTCAGATTTATGATACTGTAATATGAATTTATGATGCTGTTTTATTAATTGATATTAAGAACCACAACTACTGTGGAGACTAAAAGATTCCAGGTACTGCATATTCTCCCTCTTGGGAAGCCCAGGTAGGCCAAATTGAGATGCAAAGACAGCTGGATATATGTGTCATAAAAACTAGGGCATTGGCCATATGATTGAAAATTTTAATGACAGCAGAATGAAATAAAACTCTTTTATGGGCTGAAGTAACTGTCTCTTATGGTTAGAAGCACTGATAGTATTTGGTTTCCTGCATCCTTGGGCTTCTTAGTGAGCACATTTTTATTGAAAAACATTGGGTTCCATATATCAGGCAGTTCTAAAAGTTCATTTATCTCTCTAGGGTAAGTTTGCACATGACCTCTTTAGCCAGAATGTGTGATTTTTAAGTTGAATGATAAGAAAATATTCTTTAACTGGCATTAATTCTGAGTTCTTGGGAGAAGTTTCACTATTGCTATATAAAGGGTTTGCTAGTTTACATTTTTAATGAAATGAAGAATTGGAATAGTAGCTTTCCCATGTATTTTCCATATGTGCCAAGAAAGGACAGTCCTAAGTGAATCATATATGTTGTTCATGAGTAGATGAGAGAGAGGGATACTACTTCCCCAGGATATTCTTCCTGGATTACACTGGCTCATTACTGCCAAGCTGTTGGCATATGTGCCTTTTTAGGGATCTTCTAGTGAGCATACCCACTGAAAATGTATCATTGAATATGTGCTGAAATGTCATGTGTATTGTTGTTGTTGAGTTATTATTCTCTTCCTAAAGATCACGTCTGAATGACTAATGGCAATTTGTTTCCTACACCTTTCTATGTCTGCTATTCACTGTTGAATAAGCATGTAATATGCAGATAGTAAGACTTCCCATGATATTTCTCTATGTAAAATTGTTTATATAGTATTATAGTATTATAGTATGGTATTAATTGTTTAATAGAATTAATATGCCATTATCTTAACAAGGAGTGATTGTAGCAGTCAGGATCTAACAGACAACAGAAAACTCTCTGAATATAAAGCAGAGGGCACTGAAAGGAGAGAAATTACTCCATCAAAGGTAAAATCTAAGAGGGCAGTTGGGACAGTGAAGCAACCCAAAGAAAAGAAGCCATTACTAAGCCTAGGCTGGAGAGACAAAGGGGGCGGGGGTAACTTGGTGGACGCTGGAACTTTCTATGTACACAAGTGCAGGGGGGTGGAGATGTAGCCTCAGCTACTGAAGGCAGAGAGAAAGTAAGAAGTATCACAGCTTCTCCTTTTCTCCTCTTCTCCAGTATCCTACTGGTTATCCCACTGGCTGACCCCAGCAGGGGTACTGCTGACTCAGAGCCTGGGAAACTCTTTCTGAAGGGTTCAGCTCCCTGGAGGAGGGGTGGGGGTCTATATGCCTTTTGTGTACTAACTAGCCTATGTATTTATTTTCTTTCTCTGGCTTTCTTTGCCTTATTTTTTCCCCCAGCATTGTAGACAACTTTAAAAATGGATTTATGTCCTTTTTGCAAACAGGCAGCTGGTTCTAAAATTTTAAATGTATAATTAAATAAAAATATTCATTATTTTCCTCAGAATAGGAGTTGCATGACAGTAAGGAGTATATTCTCCTTTTAAACTTGAAAATCAACAAAATGTGTATTTCAAAGCTAGCTACAAAAATATAACCACTAGCAATTATATTGCCAGGCAGTATTCAGTGGTTGTCAATATTCACAACTCTACTCCATCAAATAGCCACATATTTTTCTTGAGATAAGAGATATTTCTTTAATCAATATTTTGGTACAAATATGTTTACAGTTACTTTCTCCAAATAATATCTGCTCATCCAAAACAACCTTTTCCCTAATAGTCATGTTAATGACATGCCTTATTATGAGTTCCTGCATTTACTAAGTCATCTTAGCATTAACTCTGTATGTCACAGGTTCTTTCCTACTGCTACTTTTCGTCAATTTGTATCAGTTTTGAGCTCATATTGGCCCACTGTTTTTTGTGCATCAGTTGCTCTCTCTCTTCTCTATTGGTTTTCCATCTCTGCCCACGCTCTAAGACCATGTCAGTTCTTTCCAAACATCCAAAAATGGTACAGTATAAAAGATATTCTTATAATAGATGAAATTGCAGATACCATGAGGGAATGGACCAAATTTGCTCAGCCCTGCAATAGACTCCTGTTGTGTAGCAGACATTGAATAAGTATTTTTCTAAGGGAAGAAATGAATGTCTGAATAAGTGAGAAACAGATCTGTATTTAATCGATCAATTATATTATGTATTTTGAAAATCACTTGACTTACCATTTATATTTTTCATGTTATCATTATATTCAAAACATTATAATACCTACTTATATTATAAAATATATTTATGTTATATAATTATAGTTACTCAGAGGATATGCTGTTTTCTGATTTAAAAAAAAAATGACAACTCATGTCAAAACCAGATACTGTAAAAATGTTAAGGTACACTGTTGATGTCTCAGTTAAAGCTAAAGCTTGAAGACAATTGATAGTGTGTTTCTCATTGGGACCAGCATGCAGAACTTGGGGGTAGGGAGGGTGGCATAATTCTCTGAGATGATCACCCAGTTTTAACCTATGAAAGGTTGGGAATGCTAAGAAATAGAGAAGTGGATAAAGAGGATTTTTTTTTTTTTTTTTTTTTTTTTTTTTGAGAGAGAGCTGCTAGTGGTGTTCAGTCCCAATTTCTTCTCAAGGAGGAAGCTTCAAGTCCAGTGAAAAAAGGGTTTAATAGAACTACTTGGAAGAGGGCGCCTGGGTGGCTCAGTTGGTTAAGCAACTGCCTTCAGCTCAGGTCATGATCCTGGAGTCCCGGGATCGAGTCCCGCATTGGGCTCCCTGCTCGGCAGGGAGTCTGCTTCTCCCTCTGACCCTCCCCCCTCTCATGCTCTCTGTCTCTCATTCTCTCTCTCTCAAATAAATAAATAAAATCTTTAAAAAAAAAAATAAGAAGGACAATAAAGACATTTAAAAAAAAAAAAAAGAACTACTTGGAAGAACTTGATAGCTGCCTCATACAGAGTGCCTGATTCCTACCTCAGACATCTAAGTGAAAAGATATAGACTGGTTAGTTGCTGATAAAAGTAGAAAAGAGAGGTTTTAGGTGGCCTATGGCAAAGTTTGCTTCTATGGACTCTATCAGGCAGACGGATAAATAGACAGACAGAGAATATGAATATGAATGAATGGGAGGGAGAGGATCACTAGGATTGTGCCCCTTCCCACCCCCCCACCTGCCATTCATATGTTGTGATCCTGATGGTCAACATGATGGTATTAGGAGATGGGGCCTCTGGGAGGTGTTTAGGTCATGAAGGTGTATCTCTCATAAATAAGACTAGTGGTCTTATAAAAGGAGGCTTCACAGAGCTCCTTAGTTCTTCTATCATGTGAGAACACAGTGAGGAGGTATTCTTTATGAACCAGAAAGAGGGATTTCACCAGCCATTGAATCTGCAGTGCTATGATTTTAGACTTCCCAGCCTCTAGAGCTATCAGAAATGTTTATAAGCCAACCAGTCTGTGGTATTTTGTTACGAAGCCCAAACGGACTGGGGGTCAGAGAGAGAAGAGATGTGGAAGGGAGGTGTCTTACAGATCTTTTCCAGTAAAGCTTCCTGGATGGCTAAAAAGAACTTATCAGATAGAGCTAGAAGTATGGGGCTGTGGAAGGAGTAAGTATTGGAGCTGGAGGAGAATGTATTACCCATATCAAAGGAAGGTTGGAAGTCCCAGGTGTGGGATGAATGGATCTCCAAAGAACCCACAAGGCAGACACAATAGGAAAATTCAGTTGACAACTCCAGCTAGATTCAGAAGGTACCATGCCAGTTCATGAGAGTATCTGTCAAGTGAGAACCTTTTGCTCCTGCTTTACCTATTCTCACTTGCTCCATTTCAGCCACGAAGTTAGAGACACGCAAAGCGAAGAAGCTGACTGCCCTCCCTTCTTTGACTTTAGGGCTTCCAATTTAAAGATGGTCAAAAGTGGGAAAAAGTTCAAAGTTCTGACTATTAAATGACACTGAACATTTTAATTGCTCACTTGAGGAAGTCAAGTCACGTAACAGTCACCAGGATTAATGGAGTTTTGTTTTTGTTTTGTTTGTTTTAATCTAGGAATAGGAAAAAAACTAGTCCCAATGAATAAATGTAAATGGAAGAGAAGAAAAGTACTTATGATTCCATTCCCTGAGTTAAAAGTTGTCTAATATAGAGGTTACACATGGGCTATTTTTATGTTTAGCATTATAGAAAAGTACATATTTGAATGATTCATAGGGAATCACTGATAGACATATTGACTGTATATCCTAATTTAAGAACCTAATTGTCCCATAATAAAGCCCACATAATACACCAGCTTAAGCCAAGTACTTGGTATGTTGACCAAATAAAAGAAAACCAATCAGAAGTTTAGACTTGATCCCATTTGTAGACATGGTCAAGGTTAGCATAGGAATATGAAGACCATGTTAGTGCATGTGTAAATGTATGTATGTGTGTATTAATCTTCTAATATGATTCTCTCAGTCACTTCTATGTGTAACTTTTGCTATTTGAAAAAATGCCTTCACTTTTTTACATTATTGGTTTATTTCACATATCTTCTGTGTAAGCCAACAGGGTATATTCAGATATATAGCAGATATATTCTGATGGGTCAGAATCAAAATAGGCCATTAAAAGTTGTTTTATTGTATGCTTTTGGTGCGTTGGAACAGTAACCACTTAGACAATGCAAGTTTATTGTAAGCATCAAAAGAGAAGGGT